CGCTTATCCTTCCAGCAGGAATGTTGTTGGGAAAATATTTTGTATCACTGTCAAACGAACAATCTAAGATTGACAGTAGGGTCTTTGTGAGCCTCAACAGGTCATTGAAGCTATAGAATCCAAAGTAGATAAGGTACCTTGCAAGATGCACAACCTAGAATAATAGAAAATTTGGTTTGTAATCTCACATTTGAGTTTAAAAGGGTTTTATTCCTCATATAATGTTTAAATTATCCTAAAAAACTTTCTACTTGTATTATAATCATTATAATATCAAAATTTTCTAAGTCATGAATGAAGAATATATATTTTTTGCAAATAAAGTATGATTATCTACTGCTATTACAAACAAAAAGTAAATCTAAATTCCAATCAAAAGAAATATCTATAAAAAATCATACCTCATATGTCAGCTTATTCTGTTCAGGGTCCGAAAAGCTCCACATCTTGTCCACTACATTACACAGGTATTCCTCAACAAAGAGGATGACTTCTCTGAATGTAGTCTCTGCAGCCTCAGCACTATGAAGGGCTGCATGCTTGTCATAGCTACAAAGAAGACAACAAGTCACACTAATGATCCTGCAAGTCTAATGTTAGAAATGAGATATATGTAACCTAAGGTGGTGTACTTCTGGAGGTTATAAGACTGCAAACTTCTACATAAGAAATTCTTTAATTTCTTCATATTTCTAAAAAATATATGAATAAAAATAAGACTGACTAAATAAATAAAAAACAATATATCAAAAACTATCTAAATCTGGTTGTTGTGACCAGAATATTACCAAATAGTAAAACATCTTCATATCAATCAGCTCACTTAATTTGCCCTAGGTCACAAATACCAACCAAAATACATTTTTCTTGGTAATATCTTTATATTCTTGTAAAATTGTGGATTCAAAATTCATCCTTATTCAAAACATCACTAAGATCCATCAAAAGGTCATTTTCCATTATATAGTCATGACCTTCCTCATACATATTGTAAATATGTGACTTTAGTTTATCAATTCTGTTGACAAATAGGTGGCTTCACAAGAGCTTAAGCACCTAAGAGACAATTGGTTTTCCTACCTAAGGAAAGTAAAACTAGGTATGAAGACTCCATCTTGATGAAAATACTAGCTGGCAACTTTTGAGCTAAGCCCCGTTCCATCAGCTTTATTCACAGCAAATATTAAATATTAGCTCTTTTTTAACTATTTTTTTGCCATTGTTATTACTGGACCATTTTCATATAAAATGTACTAAAATGTACTAAAAAATGTACTAAAAGACAGGTGGTGGAGCTAATGATGTCACCATGTTTAGCCAATGAGTGCGCACCATGAGATGCTAGATATAGCTAGATACATTATTTGTACAATTCACTTGCTATCCTTATAATTATAAGAAGTAAAACCAAAATTCCCCTCTTTTATTTACAATAACAAAGAGTTCCTAACCATTAATAGCCGTCAGAAAACTCTAATGAAAAAGTCAATTTCATTTTTTGGTTCAATAGGCTAAATGGAAGTGGACCTACCTAGTTACTTTCCTTGGTCCTACCCTTCTCATCTGTTTACCCTTTTTCTTTCTATGTTTATGTGCTATTAGTATTTTAATAATATTGTAATAATTATATCAATAACAATAACAATAGTACCTGAATTAACAGCATCGTTAGTGACTGTTAAAGTGGAGCCATCTTTATATTAACAAAAATCACAGAACAAAACCAAGTGGACAGCCCATGTACCCAGTAGCATAGGGTTGACCCATCCACCATAGAATCATCTACTATTCACTGTAGTTCTTTGTAAACTTTGTTGCACACAGATGGCTCCACTAGTGCTCAGCTAAAGGGCATCAATTAGTAGGCCCTATAAAACTGCATAATATTTATCCATTCCTCGACTTTTTAAAATTATTATTGATACTGATATTATCATTATCATTGATATTTTGAATATCATTATATTACCAGAATCAAAACAATACAAAATTAAAAAGAAAATCCAGAAATCAAAGAATGATAGTTGATAACACAACTAATAAACTAAAATCACATTGGCAAAGCTTGTAGGTGATGCTATCCATGACCAATAGGTTAAAAACTGCATAAGGTAGATTCAACCATTATCAAACTTTGTTTACCCAAGGCAATAACTTTTCCTCATAAGAACTTGCCCTAACACACTAACCATTTCCTAAATCAGCTGCCTCCATCACCCACAGTAAGTAAAGATCACCATTATATAAGAGTACAAAAACAGCGATCTTAAATAGGTACAGACGTTCACTAAGCTGTAACATACAATGTCTGCAGCAAAAATGTATTGAAGCAATAGCATAATAAAGAGGTGAAAAATGTGCACAGGCCATTCCATGACAGAAAATGTGAAGAAAAAGAAACTTGTATCTCTACAACAGGAGTGAAGGCAAGATCTATATCAGTATGGTTATTAATCAGAAATTTTAGGTGCCCCCTTACTTTCTAAATACACAATATCTT